GATTTGACTTGGCTCAATCATGCTGTACGTCACCGGTTCTGCACAAACACCCTTATTATATATAGCCAAAAGGAAATGAACGTAAATCTCATAAGTAAATATGAGGTGTACATGCTAACCATATTAAGATATATGCGTCTTTAGATGAAACATTGCTCATTCCGTGGTTCTTTTTTGACCCCCAGATAGCTGTTACCACCAAACAGCTATTCAAGTTCAAGCATTTCTTGTACCTTATCTCTAAATGAGTTGTGGTTATATGAATGGGATATTCTTTGAGTCATAAAGTACGAAGCATTTGATTTGCACACATCATGCTTTTCAACATTTTAATGATACAGTATAGGAAATTGGTTTGCAGAGCTAAAGATATTCTCATCGACGCAAATTCACCTTTTTGAGATCAAAATAGGTCACCTACGAGAAATTTTTTGTGTGTGTGTGTGTGGGGGGGGTATGTGTCTTTTTACTGTGCCAGTAGTACCAACTCAGTTCTGTACCCGCTCGAAGTCACCGCTTTCAAACTCTCCTGTGTGTTTTTGTGTGCACGCTTCAGGTTTAGAATTACAAAACCAAAAGCTTCTATTTACAACGTGTTTTGCAGCGTTGAGTATTGTAGCCAATCACAGGCATCTCTGTTGAAAGCAGTGGCCAATCAGAGGTGTTTACTGTAGGTTAGTCAAAATCCGCTCTGATCGTTTGCGTAGTTCTACACGCTCACAGATCTTCCTAACAAGACATAAAGAAAGCATACACGATGTAAATAAGATATTCATTGTGTAGTTAGTTATTGATTATATCAGGAGTTTTCGCATGAGTAAGCTCGGACAGTTACGCTATAAGGGAAGCACCCTTTACTTGGTTTCTCTATATACTTCAGAAAAGTTTGAAGAAAAGTTTAAGAGGACCAAACCGTCCACGTATACTGTTAAAGGAATGACAAACGCGAGTGTAAAAAATTACGCTAGTGAATCTGCCAAATTGATCCGCAATGGACGGAACGAACTATCTGACAAGTCAATGTCAAAACGGAGCTAGCCTGTGCTTTAAGTGATGCTGAGTAAATTCAGAGTAACAAAACTACAGCAGCAACAAGTCTGTGTTGCCTTTAGCAGCTTCTACAGGTAAAGATAACTTAAAGCTCTCCTTTTGATGTGTCCTTTTTTGGCAATGTTTGAAAAATGTCGTTTTTAAATTTTCTAAAAAAAAAAGCACCAAAATATTTAATGCATTATTTAATAATTAAAATAATTAACCCTAGGCTGTTGGTGTCTGGGCTTATTTATATATTTTTAAATGACATGAGACTTTGTGACTTTCTGCACTTGCTATACTTCATAGTCATTTTATAATAAATCCAAAAGCAAGATGTGAGAAAAACTAGGGAGTTGAAATGGCAACTGAACTAATGGGTGATCCTCTGCTGCCATCTACTGGATATAATGGTAATTTCATGT